TCCACAACGCTACGTCCTCGTGCCGTGATGCTATACGTCCAATGGTAGACGGGCAGGCGAGGTCAGTATGTTGCTGCTCAATAGGGCGCTATAAGGGTAATCCTCCTTGGAAAAGGCGCTACGCAGCGCCTGTTCATTATCACGGAATTCTGCCATGCCAGTTGTATTAATCCTACTCGTCTTTGGGGATTTATCGTGCCAACTGCCTTTAAGCTCAGAGGGTGGAGTTGGTTAGGAATCTGCTGCTCGGGTATTTTCAGACCATATTAGATGGTAGGAACACCAGACGTTCCCGAGTCATGCAGATGCTATGCCCAGAGACAAGTGACTCCAGGTGAACTACTTCTGGCCAAACCTACCTCAAGAAATCAATTTCGAGCCCGAATTCCGAGCCTAAACTTAGAACAAGCGGCAGCAAAGGGAAATGTCATTTAATGCGCGATTAAATAGAAGTTTGAGCCATCCGCGGTGTAAATGGAGGTCGAATACATGGCTCACCTTGAAAAGAGCAATCTGTGCTTTCTTAGTTCTTCTCATTATGTTTCATATGACGCCTGCTTCCATTTCAGCTCAGTCTCAAACACGCTACCGTACCTGTTCAATGGCTACCTGCGTTGGTACGTCAAGTGAAGCGAGGCCATGTATAACTTATGTTCAGCCACAGATTGCACAATGGGGTGAATGGGGTCCGTGGGGTGCCTGCAGGTGAGTCCGTTGGCTGAAGTACGCCTGCACTGCCCCTGGCCTTCAACTGAATATAATTTCAGTGCATCCTGCGGTGGTGGCACATGCACTCGGACTAGGCTCTGTAACAACGCCTGTACGACCTGTCAATGTGTCGGAGCGGCCACACAAACGATGTCCTGTAACACACAACCTTGCTGTGAATACGGTCCGGTAAGTCTTGCTATATAGCGTAGAGCGCTTCGTGATAAACAGGTACCTCAAAGTGATTTGACACTGGGGTTCCCGCCAGGTCTAATCAGAGCACGTCGTGCACTGGGATCTCCTGTAAAGCAACGGCAGCCTTCTAGGGAGAAATTGGAGGATCATCCAAGAGAAAAAATATCCGTAAAACGGTTGGAAGTTGGGAAAGTTTAGAAAGGTAGTATGGGAGATGGCAAAAGGGAGGTCATATCAGAGGAGGAATGCCCGAGGAGAGAGTCTTATCCTGCAGGAATCTTCTACAAAGCAGGACGTTGCCGGCTGATTACTGGATTTTTACGCGGCTCCTGCTACACGTCCTGCTAGTTTTGCTATTCCTTATGGGGCTCATACTTTAGCCATGCAATGTAAAAGTTGAAAAAGGTTGGGGAGCCCAATCAATTTTCCAAGTGACTACTTTACTAAAGGTTTAGATCTAAATCTACTAAAGAATGATTTCAGTGGTCACCCTGGTCGCCCTGTAGTGTGACCTGTGGCACGAATGGCGTCACATATCGAACAAGACAGTGCAGCTGCCCGGAAGGGGTAGGTTCTATCATTTCAAAGTGCTTTCATAAGACAGTCCCCCATAGTGGGTGTGGTTCCCGTCATAAATGACGCTTTTACAGTGCGAAGGGCCAGCAAATGAACAAAAAGTATGCAATGCCGATCAGCCATGTCCACCACCTCTTTATGAACAACAAACGCCAGCACCTATAGTGTCACCACCTACATTCTGCATAACCTGCTACGTAAGTATACCACAGTACCCAAAGAGTACGTTCACCAAAAATTGCATTTTCTTTGCAGTTGCCGCAGCCACCATGCATAACATGCATAAACTATGCACCTTTTGTTTATGGATACGGTAGACGAAAACGTCAGGCTGAGAAGCTCGAATGATTCCAATCTCTATTGCATTCAATGCATTTTCATGCCATGTGATACTGTGAACATATCGGTACTCTGATATTTCTATGTCTTTTATTTTTTGATAAACTGTTTACTAGTACCGGCTCTGGGGATTATTTCATATGCAGTCCTGCAAACAAGAGGGTGCGTGAGGGGGCTTGAATCGGCCAGGGCAGCCCTTTCACCAAAAGGTTGGAAAAGGTTGCAGTAGCTGCGCCCAGCCCACGCCCTCTCTCTAGCGGTGATAATTATTTCAATCTTGACTTTACAGTCGTTGAAACGATGCTACAGTAACGGTCAAGAGGTAGCGCGGAGTTGGAGATCCGAGTTGCGACGGCGCAAAGAAACAAAATCACCGCCGAAGTCGCCAAAGTTGCCCGAGACTGCGAGGTGACTCACGTCCCTGCGGTCCATCCTGTGACAATCCAACGGCGCCATTGTTGCCGCGCAGCAGATCCCAAAATCTTCTGCCGAGCACCTCTCAAGCCGTCATGCAGTCTCCACCTAGTCTAAGATAAGAACACCGTTTAGTTCCGTGAATTGTAGGCGTTAGCGAATGAGCTCAAAAGCTGCAGATCTGTCTATCAGTAGATACCACGTTTTTGTCCAAGAAGTCCAGCAGTTGCCCAGCGGGCGCCCACTTACGTGCCACTCTCATGGCAAGTATAATGCCTCAAAATGCTCCACCCAGAATACGGTGCCCGCCTATTGTGGGATCCCTGGCGGCTCTGAGTGATCTCTCACTTGGATTTCTTACTAACTGTAGTGGATACCAGCCGTTCATGATCTCTAGTCAAATGCATGACGCAGTTGAAATGGCCGGGCGTAGAGGACCTTGTATTTTCAGTGATTACTAAGCTGAAAATTAGTCACTTCTACGATAATCTGCGTTGATGCAGTGACAGCGATATCTGCTTACCATGCGCGCTCTGTGGCGGATCAAAACTTGGATGCGCTACACACAACTTATGATACAACTGGGTGCGCATACTGTAAAAAAAAAGTAGCGTCTTCCTATAGTAGCAAAAAAGAAACCTATAGTCGCCAAAAACTCTCCGGGAAGAAAAAAAGCAAAAAGAAATCATGGGAACAGCCTAAGAAAGGATCCCAGGCAGCTTCACTGTACGAGTTTTTCGGGTATGCTTGTTTCATGACAGCCCTGAAAAATCCCTGCTTGCCTCGGCTCGTTGGTCTTTCTTCGCCGTCTCGTCCATTGTTCGACTACCAAAAAAATATGCAAAAAAAAACCGAACTCGCTAACCAGGAAATTAACTTTGAGTTTTGCGTTGGGTGGGCTTGACGACTTAGGGAACTGGCGTTAGAAACTGTCAAACTGCCATTTATGAGGGCCACAGCACCTTTGTTACTTACAATGAAGCCGCGAAAGTGGGATAACTTCTTGGATAACTTCTTGCATAAGGAAGGGGAGCGGTTGCAAGTAGTGTTTCATCGCGAGGCCTCAAGCGAAAACAGAATTTCGTTAGGAGTCTGCGAGGGGAGTGGTGCGAGGGTATTGCACATGGACAAATTGCGGCTATTGTTCTTTTTCGATTTTCCCTGTTTCAGGTGCGGAATATCTTCCACCCCCCTCCCACTCACTCCGCAAAAAAAGGTAGAACATCCGCGAAAATCCAGGACAACGGTTAGGTACAATGGTGCGAAGCGGACGAATTTTGGAAAGAATTGTCCCTCAACGGAGGATTTCTCACATTACACGCTTGCTAATCACTCATCTTCACAGGACCTCTTCAGACAGTAAGCTTTGGCAAAAATTATTTTATTTTGGTTTTAATTTCTATCACCGCATTTTTCGAAACATCAAATTAATAAACTCATAGAGAGACCCACAGAGTGACAAAACAGAAAAGCGAAATTAAGGAAGTCTTCATAGATGAAACGAGGAGTGAAAAACCGGTAAATAGGAATAAATAACGAATAAATACACATTTTCAAAATGAACCGGCAAGAAATGACTAGCTGAAAGTGAGGCTGACTACAGTCATTATACCAATCAATAAAGGCTAGACGGAATGACGCTGAAAAAGGAAAGAGTTTCAAACTTTGAAGTGCACATGAGTAAAAGTGTACAAAGGCTGGCTAGTTGACCATGCTGGAGGTCCTTCTTCTCGTCCATTTATGCCTCTGAGGGATACGGTGTTAACGGAACTTTCCCTACACGTTTCAATATCACAGATACAAAATGGCTCCTATTTATCCTTGAGTTTAGCCTTGTCCTTCTCTTTGCCGTTTGATGACGGTGTTAACGTATATTCGCGCCATTCAAGCTGAAATTACGGTAAGTTTCAAATACAGTAAGTGGAGTAGTAGCATTGTAGTGGTCATTTTCAAGAACCGAAGGCCGAGAGTACTAGAGCGGATTTGAACGTCTGTTTGTACAAAACTGAAAGTACCGCCAAGCGAATGGGAATATCGCAACAGTGATGAGTTATGGGCAAAAGTCAGACCACGGACGGGACACGAACCCGCATCTCTCGTTTTCCGTGCGGTTGCAATACTCACTACCGACCGAGGCCGCTCTTGCCCTCTCAACTCAACGGCTAATGGGAATTTTTTTAAGTGTATACGTCGAGAATTTTTACACTCTGAACTTGGGCGGAAGGACCAAAAACCACTTAGCTCTTGAAGCAAGTGTTGTACGCGTGGGGCAATGTCCACCCGTTGCAGAAAAATTTCAAAAAGTGTGATCCCTCTTTCTCCCCATATTTCCCTCTCTGGTACGGACCCTTTCCTTTTTTCACCGTCCCTCATCCTACCTGCAGTCTTCCTGAACTTTCCCAACTTCCCACCCCTTTTCTGTTCGGAGGCCAATTCCCCCCTGCCTCCACCTTTCCATGAAGGAAATTGGTCGTTAGGGTGAGTATATGCCGCAGAAAAGGAAAAAAAATCAAAAAAGTCAACAACCAAAATCATTTTTTCAGGGGCAATTACGACTGCTCTCGCTGAGATACTTAGCCTGACGTGCCTTTTGAGCACGCGACACCGCTTGCGATCAGCACTGCGAGTCAGAGCACACCGTTACCTTCTGCAGGCGGCTTGCGAGAAAATTGCGTAGAAATAGAAACAGACGTCCTAAAATAGCCGCGCAATTTCGCTGCGTTATGTCGCGCACGGCGAGCAGCGATTTCACGCGATACAAGGTGGGATCTATTGCAACATGTCTCCACGTCGCAATCGGTTTTATCAACTTACCAAATCCCTATCGCACGGTACTCGAGATAGGTAGTCTAACAGCTCATTGTTGTCGATGTAGTGCGGATTACGTAATTTCTTTGTAAACTTGTTGATACCTGGAAATATAAAATTGTTGAAAATTTGCATGGAATCTTGATGAGGTTACAAGAACTTTTAGAGATGAAGAAGAGCTCACCCCAAGCCATAATAATCCATCTTAAAGGTACAAGGTACAGCAATATAGTGGCAACTGTGAGAACTCCTACAGCAAGCCAAGAGAGCCATGGTTGCGTGAAATTGAAGCTACTGGAAAAAATAACGAATGAAAATAATGATTTTATGCTATAACATGAAACACCACTGTGCACATTTTCCTGAAAGGGAATTCTACTCTCCTGAATTAAAGGAGACCTATGCTATATCTTACCCCCCCACAACCTGGAGAATGAAAGATCTGCCTGAGGCCAAGGCAGCTTTGCTGCTGCGGTGCGGACTGGCTGTTCAGAATGACGGCAGCTCTCTCCCCCTTGCTGCCGTCATGACCTCTCTCATACTATACGTCCCCAAAGTTGAAATTCACCTCACGCGTCTTTAACAATAATTTTAGCGTCTAGGCTCGGACCGTAATATGATGCGATGGGGGGGCGATAGAAACACAATCGTATGGCACAAAATGACTAGACGCATGAATCATACTTTACGCGGATTCTCCACGTACAAGGTGATTAATGTCAGGGCTGTATAAGTGTTTGCGACAGAGTGACCCCCCAGTAGTGGACACCTGGGCTTATAGTCAGCCAGACTTTTCGCTTCAAACCGATCTCGTAGCCGTGATCAGGGAGTCAAGGGGCTATTCCCTGAGGCTACAATATTAGCCAGATCTATCCCGGGAAACATCCGCTCAAATGATTCAAAATAGCGGATCAGAGAAGGGAAAATACTGCATCAAGCCCTATAAAGAACAGAGGTGAAGGCTTCAAACTCACTTTCGTACCCGTTGCAATAGAGCGCAAATAAAAACGAGTGTGTTTTGACCACAGCCAAAGTTTCCTGCACCGATGACAACGTGTCCCTTATAGTTGACGATGAGGACTGAAAATTAACGAATTAGAGTTCTTCAGGCCTGGGTTATCACCTACACAGCCCTATGACAATACGCTCACTGCAACACGAGCGCTAGAGTGCGTTCACACTTCGCGAGGTTTCGAGCGTGCAGCAGCATTTCGAGCGGCTAGGAAAGCACAGGCGTTAATCTAGCGCACAAAACGCTCGAAACGCTGACGCAAAGTATGAACACACTTTTATGGGCATCAACAAATAACGATGAAAACGTGTTGGCTTCACATGCAATATTAGTTATCTATGAGACGTTCGACACACTTCCTTATCCTTCGATTTGGACGCTGTGAGGGCGTTTGCCGGGGATTTTCCGCCACTGTCTGGTTCCTGAAAGAGACACACAAGACACCATACGGGCACACAACAATCGTGACAGTGTACGAGGACTACGGTGATGTGACTGCTAGAAAAAGAAGACGAGTTATTCCAATCTGTTGTTTGAAGGATTATCGCTCGTAAGGAAAGGGATAGAGGGAT